AGCTTTTGATTCTATTTTAAACCTATGGAAATACTTACAGTTATCTAAACTTCACACTGTTCCAGCAATCAATTTAATCCAATATTTGTTGATAATTATATCACCCAGAACAGGAATTTAAAAAGTATGGTCTCTTATTTTTTTAAATTTGTTTATTGAGTTATATTAGGATAAGCGCATCAGTTTCCATACTTATGTATGAAACCTTGGGATAAAGTTTGATCAACATCGGTCCTGGAATAATCACATTTTCTAAATTATCCGAAAGTCCATTGCTACCCTCAAACTGTTCCTGAGATTCCGTGACTCTATGCCATTTAAAATCCGTCAGCTCCTAGTGTCCTCTGTCATTTCCCTCACATCGAATATGGCTGCCTTGTATACGCTGGACTGTCTGGTATTTATCTTGAACTCACACGTATGTATTTATCTTTAAATTCATAAACTACTACTTCAAGATCATATATCTACTACAGTGCGTTTTCTTTATTTTAATATTAGGGTCAGACAACATTGTAAATTAATTTATTTTTAATTCTATTATAATGTCAGATAATTTCGTTGCTCATTCATTGATAGTTATTCTGAGGAGACTAAATGTCCCAGAGTAGTGTTGCCCAAATGCGAGACGGAGGCGAGTATTGGTCTTGCAAACTCCGTCTTGGTCGTGATCTTGGTCTTGCGCAAGACTCTCGGAACATTCTTGCAGTTACTTATTAGCTTATTAATATAGAGATATCACTGTAATTCTTTGAATAGGAGAAACCTAACTAAGCCCGAATGAAAAATTAGAGGAGTTAAATGCAAAATTATATTGGTTATACCAATTATTAACATATAGTAACTAAAATTGTCAAGTATTAGTAACTATTTTGCCTTAATTTTTATTTAAAAAATCGATTTTTTTTACCAGTCCTGGTCTTGGTCTTGCAACAGTTAGGTAGCCTTGGTCTTGGTCTTGCAAAGTGCAAGACCAAGACCGATTTTGGGCAACACTATCCCAGAGTAAAATTCACTTTCTTTTTTTATTCTGCCTCACCTGGGAATCAGGAACAACTAAACAAGTGAACCTTGAACAATTAGAAAGAGTGAAAAGATTAATTGGAATTAAAATTAGTAGACCCTACCACGCAATCCTCATTATCCTCCACCCTCTTTTCCATCTACATTAATGACCTCCCTTCCTCTATCATGCACTGTCAATATCACCTATACGCCGATGACGTCCAAATTTACCTTTCCTTCAACCCAACAGATTCCTGAACCTCCTACAAGACATCAATAGAATATGCGCATGGGCGAATCTTAATAAGCTGACATTGAATACGGAGAAGACAAAAGCCATCCTGATCGGATCCCCCTCACTCCTCAAATCCATTTCAACACCTCCTAATCTTCTTCTGAACAACTCACCTATCTCCTTCCATACCACCATTAAAAACCTAGGCGTAACCCTCGATCAAAGCCTCTCTTGGAAACCACACATCTCCTAAATCTCCCACCGTACTATATCCATGTTTTTTTTTTTTCTTAAAGACATTTACAACTGTATTAAATAAATACATCTAGTAAATTTGAACATAATGTATATAATGACATGAAAAACACTTGCTGAGTAACTACTCAATGATAGTACTCTAATATCCACCCTGAAACAGTTTAACCATCTACATTATCTTCTTCCGTTCAAAACCCGTCAACTCCTGGTCTCCTCTCTTGTTTTCCCCCACTTCGACTATGGCTGCATGGTGTATGGTGGACTCTCGGGAGAACTCGAAGCCAAACTTAATCGTTTAATGAATTGCTCAATCCGCTTTATCTTTGGGATCTCAAGGGATACGCATATTACCCAGTTCTACACCAAGTTGAAGTGGCTTTATCCGTCCTACCGCCGTCAATATTTTCTGGCTACCTTCCTATACCGAGCCATTACAACACGGCGATCTGCCTATATTCTACAGATCCTACAATTCAAAAGCTCCTTTCAATCCCGTCCCACCAGATCCCGTGCGTCCGACTTCTATCCTCCCCCTCACCGAACTGCTGCGTTTGATAAATCCTTTTTAATACAAGTTGTCTCCCTCTGGAACTCTATACCCTCCGATATTTGACACGCAAAATCGATATCCTCTTTCAAATCTCTCCTCTTCGAACACCTACTCCATTCCCAATCCGATTGATCTCGAAATGTACTTAAAAACCTAAGCTGTAAAAACCTCAAAGTACACCCTGATATTCTGATTATTTTGTAATTCATCGATATTTCGTTCACTTAATTACTTTCTCTGTATATTTTATAATTACACGTATTTATATCTTTTTATCATTTATAACTTTATTATACTCCGAATCAACCTGTAAATATTAAATTGTATTTCATGGACACTCCAAAATGTTGATATATATTCTGTATTTGTGACTTGTTCTCAAGGGACACTAGTCCCAGAATAATAAAATTATTTTCATTCATTCATTTATTCAATATCTTATGAAGCTGCCTGCGTTCTTTCTGGAATATTACCGATAAAATACAAATTTAAAGAACTAACCACAATTTACAAAATTAAAAAACAAAACATAAATTACAAAAACATTGGACATAAAACGAGATAGAATTGGAACTACCAACAAACCAATGGATACGTACTTCATCATGCACAAAACTAACACAATACATAGATATTACAGAATACACTGATTTACTAACTTCCGATATCTATACAGACGAAAGTAAATAATAACAAAACACAGGTTGTGCCTTCAGATTTCACCACAATTCCACTTACTACGAAGAACAATGTAGACTAAGTTCACACTGTTCAAATAATCAAACCGAAATATTAGCAGTAATTAAAGTAACTACGTCTTAAGACAGACAGAACTATTTGGTGAATCTCATAAAATGTATATTGACACCTAAATATTATTGATTCTTTAAAAAATTGCAAAATCCAGTTCTTACTGACTGAACGAATCAAACAAAACCTAATAGAGATTATGGATAACAATATAAAAGTATCACTTCAATGGGTCAAAGGTTACAGCGGGCACTCTAGCCAAATCAGCTGCTAATGACAATCCATTTACCAACAGACTACTGCTTAGTGCCACTTCCTATGTTAAAAAATCTATTAGAATAGACTTAATTCAAGACACTAGCAATTTTCTATAAAAGTAAGACCCCTCCACAAATACATACCTCATATTACAGGACAAAACTATAACAAAATAAAAAGTACCCATTACAAACTAAAACAATTTCTGACAGAGCACGGATCTTCTAAGAATTTCTTTTAAAATATTTCATTTGACAAACACAGATCACAGATTCATGTAACTGTGACGACAAACTCCACAAACATTTAAACACATACTGTTTGGGGCATCAGGCCTTCCCTAATCCCGAAGTACAGGAAATAAAATCTGGATGCTATTAAATTTAAGCAGAAGCAGGTGTTCATGTAGAATGTAAAATGATCAAAATAAAGTTAACATAAAATATATATGACTGCATAAAATATATATAAAATAAAGAGATTTATTGATGGGGTACCAAAATATACATTGTGATTAATGTGTTAATATCTATTTGTTAATAATGGGCTGATCAGGTGAATGTAGATTCTGGCTGGTGGAATGATGATGTAGAATTCTCCCACGGACACACTTAAATTTTTTCAGAGTTCATTGCAAAACAATCCGAAATTGATTTGCTAAACAATTTTATTTAATGAAGGATTCAGGAAAATACGTTATAGAGCTAATGAAAAAATTAAATCTACTTAATTAAAAAGTTCAGTAAACAGGTAGCGAATGTTGCATCATTTCGTTAATTTATTGATTGGGTTTGAATCAATCTACAACTGTAATCGGGAATTTCATCTTCAATGTTGCATTATAGTTTTTTATTTCTGTTTTTTTACGTAATTGTAATAATGAAAATATGCAATTATACAATTACATGCAGTATAAAGTTTGACTAATTGCATCTGATGAGAATGCACTTATTCGTTATCGTAAAAAGATATTTCATTGGATGTTTAATTACAACATACAAACAAAATATTTAAATAATATTGTGATCATTCACCCCATATTAGAATTATACTTGAGTAAATAATTTGTTCATTTGTTTGAATACACCTAATGATACATGTTCCTTTTTTTCAGTTACTAAATATTATGTCACCTCCAGGAATTCTAACTCACATAAACAAAGCATTGGAATTATTTGATTTAGCTCTGAATGAATTGAATATTTATTTCGATGTTAAAAGATTATTGTCACCGAGATTCTTCTTTATTAGCAACAACGAATTTCTCGATATCATAAGCGTCTGTGCCACGCCTTGGCTAATGCTGGGCTACCTAAAACGCATATTCGATTATATACATAAGGTAACAAATAAATATATTTCTTAGTGCAGAAAATAATAATTCAATAAAATTTGAACAGTTTGCTACCATGTAAGGGTATGGAATTTGAAATTTGTAGTTAGAGAGTGAAGTATGATCTTATGGAAATCAAGAAAATGATTTTAGATCATATTTCCATTTGATTTAAAAGGAAACATTCAATGGTACCGTTGTACATTATTCACCAATACAAATCCATTCGTACTCGATATTTCTTATTTAAAACTCAATGAAAGTACTTGATCATTCTATATTTAATTTAGTTGATATAACAATACATAACTGTCATAATGATGTTATTGGTAATTAATTGAACATTACTGATGTAAATGCCACTCTAGCATTGATGAATTTTATATTCAGAACATCGCTCTAGTCCACGAAACAGTTTAAAATTAAATCCCGTCACTATTCTAGATCATTGGCACTAAGCATTATGAATAAGAATGCCCTTTCTTATCTTGGTATTTTATTGACGGGATTAATACTGGATTTCGTTGCGGTATAGAGAGAGCTTTATAGATTTTATTGGTAGAACAGTTGAACTGTTAAAACTTTCTGTTTAATATATATATTCTTTTTACAGTTATCTTTCGATTTCGATATGGGAGCAACGCATTTCATATCTGTGGATTTTGAAACAATAAAGTTCCAGCCGCCTATTACTAAATGGCCGGCGAAATCGTTTCCCGATGTTATGTATACCCCAAGGAACGACCCATACTACGAAGAAAAGGCTGTACCGCTGATTGATGCAGCAAAGTACAGTGGTGTTGAGCTCTGGATCTGGGCTGTAAGTATTAAAAAGACGTTTAAATTCAAATAACTATTACTAAAGTATCGCCGTAACCAGGTTTGTGTGTTTGCCAAACCACGAAAATGCGACACAAATTGCAAAAATCTAGTTATCGGTATGGAAATTTTACTTCATTCTTCTGTTCTCGGCTAATGTACTAGATGTTATCAATTATAATTAAAAATGGCTTTAGAAGATAAATATGGAACTTTTATTCTTTCAAATGTACTATAACCTACTCTGGGAAATTAATATTAGGAAAAGTAATTAATAATGGAAACGTAATACAATCGACGATGATCTTCCGACAAGATTTTTACTGTCTCAACTTCAATAACGTTTAACTTCTATCATTGAAGAAAATGTTGAATAATTCTATACTGAAACCGCATAAAGATATATATCATTACAAATGTTTCTGTTTACCATTTAAGGTGCACAAAACTTTGGTTCATTGAATAGATATTGTAAAGGACTTTATGGTTCCGATAGAACAAATGTTGGAGGCTTAAGAAGAAATAAATAAGCGACTACGAATAAAACAAGTGTTATTGAGAATTCTGTACGTGTAAAAGAATTCGAATTGAAGACAATAAAGAACTGTTTAATTAGTTGATTCTAAGTTCAGAATATTATTTAAATGAATTTTTCAATGCAAAAAAAAGAAAAGAAAAGAAAAACTTTGATCTGATTTCCTTATCACACTATTTAAAGCTGATGAGAATATGATAGCAAAAAGAGATCAAGTTCCAAAAGATGATTCAGAAAACAACAAAAATAAGTGCCATGAAGATGTAGGTTCATGAACACTGGTTATTCGTGTATGTAAGTGGTTGCTAGGATCTCCTCTTCTCTGGCGCAAGACTTATTTCGTACCTTATACCTTGGTTTGAAAAGGTTCTAACTGCATTTACTATAATTTTGGGTTACAATTTACACAAGGTATTGTTTGTACAAAAACTAAAAAATTGAAGCTGTGTACTTGATTTTGCATTCTTGAAGACTTAACTGTACCAGTTATTAATATAATTTTGAATATTAAAATTTTTCAGTTAGTCTTTGTCATTTCAGCATGCATTTTATTGTCTCACAAGCATTCTAAAACTTGTGGGCTTACGTTTCATGGAGTGTAAGAAGAATCGAAAAGATATTGAGATAATTAAATAAAAATATTGAGTCCTTAATTTTTTTTTTTTAACAATTGATTTATTAAATCATTATATCCCTCTAAGCTAAATGAAATAAAAGTAATTTATTTCAGAAGCAATATTTCACATTTAGTTTAGTAGCCTGTATAGCTGGCCGTATCGTCGGTTGAGTTATTGTCTTTTGAGTCTAGTATGTGGGTTCCATGTTAGTCTTCGGTCTAAATGAAAGCCAAGATACCGGACTGTGTCTGATTAAGGAAGCTGGATGGAATTAAAGTGTACTGGTGGACAGGAAATGCGTCGGAGTGTAAAGGTAATATGTCGGTATTTAGATTCATTAACTTTAATGCGCCAGTTATTACACCAGTGCTCAATCAAGGAGAGGTGCCTTTGCAGATATAAGGATGCTATTTCGGGATGAGAGTCGGATGATAAGATTGCGGTGTCGTCAGCGAATGTTGCTAGGAAAATATCGGGATGAACAGGGATGTCAGCAGTAAAGAGGATGTAAAGCACGGGACCCAAGACACTGCCTTGGGGAACACTGGCTTTAACGGAGTAGATATTGGAGGTAGGAGAGGTCAGAGAGGTAGGATCGGAGGACTAGATACAAGGACTGAGGTAAATGGATTTTAAGCATGAACAGCAATCCGGCGTGCCTTACCCGGTCAAATGCCTGTGCAATGTCCAGAAATGCACCTGAACGGTATTCCTTGTTTTCTAGGGCTAAGGAAATATGATCAACTACTCGGAGTGCTTGTTGAACTGTGGAATGTTGAGAGCGAAAACCAAACTGATGGTAAGGAATATATTGGGATTCTATAATGGGTAGGATTCGTTTCAAAAGGATCTTTTCATAAATTTTTAAAAGGATTGGGAGTAGGCTAATTGGTATATAGGATGTTGAGCTAATGAGAGGTTTGCCTGGTTTTGGAAAAAGGATAATAGTGGAGTGTTTCCATAAAAGAGGAAAGTGGGTAGTGAGTAGGATGCAATTGTAGATATATGTAAGGAATATGACTGCTTTTGATGAAAGTCGAATGATTTGAGGGGTTAGATCATATCCAGGAGCTTTACGGAGGATTAGTTTTTTAAATTGAAATTTCACTTCAGAAGGATGGATAGCTTTAGAGGCCAAGGAAAGTGGGATTGGTGATATAAGGTGTTCTTCTACTGTTACGGTGCGGGTAGGATTGGATTCCGGATGTGTAATAAATAAACAAACACAAACTGCAGGATCTCGTTTCGGTTTTGTGCACTCACCGGATTTGTGCTGCTCTCCACATTTCACACAACGCGGCAGTAAGTCTTGGTGTGGCCATATGCCTTGCAATTATGGCACTGTACGATTTCCCTCTTAGGATATGGTTTCTCTACTATAACACTTGTACATTATTCTTATTTCGTATATTTTTTCGATCCCTTGAGTTGGGTCCAAATCTACGGAAAACAAGGGTAGAGGAACTTTCACTCCCGGCTGTTCTTTACTCTCTTTCAGAATATTTGTAATCTGGTGTACTATGAAACCTAAATTTTTCTTCTATTGCTTCAGTTGATGTTGAGGGGTGTAGATTTCTTATAACTACCCTCAAAGCTCGATCTTACCGTAATTGGTATGTATGAAAATCCGCTTTGGTTTCTGTTAGATATTTCACGATTTTTCTGTAGGTTTCAGCTGTATATGGTGATATATTCGTGTTCCTAGTTCTGCTTAGATATAAATAGATTCCAGAGCCTGTTATTTTGTTTATCTGAGAGTAACTGATTTTTTTTAATGGTTTTAACGAATATCGGTGAAGGTCGGGGATTTCTTGGTATCGGAGCGGACTCCATCACTTCTTTGTCATTCTGAAGCACATGATAGGGATTGGGGGTCAAAAATGGAGATTGTTCGGTTTCTTGTGAAGATGTACCTGGTTGATGCTGAAGATCTTCAATTGTTTGTTTTGACGATGTACTTGGCTGGGTTTCATTTTCTCTGAAGCTAATAGGCATTACTGCAGGTGTTTGACGAGATTGGCGAGGCTTTTGTTTGACAGGCGAAGAACAAGGTGTTGAGCCTAACGGCCAAATTCTCTTGATAGACGCTCTACTAGACATGGCATGATAGTCATATCGCATAAAAGAAATAAAAGGGGGAAAAACCCCTATAATTTATAACAACAAACAGTAAATATCAAATGTTGCTATGTACCCTTGACCTGTTTTGAATGAATAATCTCAAAGATTATTCTGGAAAATATGCAATTCTGAGAGACGATGTAGAAACACAACCTTTCGCATCAGCTGATCCGCTGCCTTTTCACTTATAATATAAATGATATTGTTTCATGTTTGACTCTCATTAAAATAACTATAAATCAAATACAGTTACATAGTAGAGCCGTTAGAATCTTCTCAACCATGTCAGACTGCTAGTTCCTTATTTTTCAACTTATGGCACAAGATGTTTTCTAAATGACATGTTTTGTATGCGATGTTCCAATAAATGTAATTTTAGCCACAACATTTTTTGGCATACTACATCTCTGCCAAACTCCAGTGGTGCCCAAAAGGGGGTTTTATGCAAGTTGCGCCATCTAAATTTTTGAGGGGAGCGTATTTTGATTTTTTTTTTTTAATTTTTCAGTGGGGGCACACTTCAATGGGGTTATGAATTTTCGGAATAAAAATTTTCAGAAAAATGAACAAGGAGAAAACGTCGAACAGACCACATCGAGTGTAATTGTCTATGATCCACGATTTTTCTAATTCTTCTTTTCCTTGCTCTGTTATAAGAATAGGTGAGCAATAAAATATCTTGGGAGAGGGAGATGGTAGGTTCTTGCGCCATCGACTTTGGGGAGGGGGGGGGGAGTATGGGCACCGCTGACACACTCTATATTTAATTAATGCTGTAGCATCCTAACTATTTTAAATTTAAGGTAGCAATGTCTATCACTTCCCAGATCCTAAAACTTCTTCCTCGGAAAGCCATCCTATTCCTCACTTACATATACAATGCTGTGCTCCGATCCACATATTTCCCTGATTCTTGGAAAATATCTATGGTCAAAATGTTACACAAACCTAAAAAACCACCCGAACACCCATCCTCTTACCGTCCTATTTCTCTGTTGCCTATCATGGGCAAAATCCTGGAAAAACTAATCCTAAAACGCCTGTATCCCATCCTAGACTCAATCATATTATCCCTGATCACCAATTTGGATTCCGCACATCGCATTCCACTATCCAACAATGTCACCGTGTGGTTGATGTAGTCTCCTCTGCATTGGAGCGAGGTATGTACTGCACGGGAGTCTTTCTCGACGTTAAACAGGCGTTTGATCGAGTCTGGTACCCGGGTCTTCTGTACAAACTCCGAAAAGTCCCACCCTCTACATACTTCCTCATTATCCGCTCCTATCTTACTGATAGATACTTCAAAGTAAACCAAAATAATGTCTTCTCATCCCTCTTTGCTCAATCTGCAGGCGTTCCACAAGGTAGTATCCTCGGTCCCATCCTCTACACAGTTTATACAGCTGACATCCCAACCCATCCTGACACTGTCATCACCACTTACGCCGATGACATATGTTTGCTATCTGTTAATAACGATCCTTTAACTGCATCCCAAACTCTTCAATCACATATCACAAGCCTTGAAGAATGGTGTAAAAATTGGAGAATAAAAATAAATTCCAACAAATCCCATCAAATCACCTTTACCCTCCGTCTTAAACCTATGACGTCTTGTCCTACAGTAACTTTCAATAATACTCCACTTATTCCTGTTGAGCAAATCCATTTGGATGAACGTCTTACTTGGAATCCTCATACTAGACTGAAACGAAAAGAAACTGCTCGACGTTTCCGACTGCTCCAACACTTACTAGACAAACGCTCCAAACTTTCTATTAATTACAAAAGACTTATCTACATAACTATAATAAGACCTATATGGACATACGGAGTTGAGCTTTGGGGCTCCACCAAACCATCGAATTCCTATCGTATCCAATCCTTACAATCCAAAATCCTCCGTAAAATCCTTAATGCTCCATACTTTGTCACAAATAAAACCATTCATAAAGACCTTAATGTACCATATGTCGCTGATTTAGCTCGAGCCAGATAGCTATCCTTTCATGATAAACTTCAGTCCCATCCAAATCCGCTTGTTTCCACTCTTGCTTCTTTCTCGATTCCTGATAATCCTCCTAGGCGTCTGAAAAGGAGATGGCCTCGTGATCTTCTTACTTAAAATTATTTAGAGAGTGCTACCACTGGGTAGTAACTCTTCAAGCCTGTACATGCCATTATTTATATTTGCGCATATTTACTTGTTGTATTTGTATACAGTTGTAAATTCCATTAAATAAAAACAAGTAGCAATGTCAGATGTTCTCAGCATGTCCAACTAATTTATGTAATAGCTTAAAAACAATTTTTCTATCTATAATGATATTAGAGATAGTTATAAATTAGTACTGCAACTACTACTCCATAAATTAGTAATGTAATTCCTTCTCTGTTTTAGATTGATAGACATGTAAAAACAACAATGCGAACAAATATCATTCGGAGCCTGAAGAATTTCACAAATACAAGAAGTCTGTTCCGCTGGTTGATGTCATGGCCCGGGCAAGCGACTCAAGTTTCTATACTTATCTATTTCGCAGCTTTGGTAGAAAGTGGAATTAAGAGAGACTCTTTAATGAAGCGGGAAAAGGACTATGACACAATCGTGAGTTTTATTTATTATTTTATAGTTTAGTTCATATAACCAATATGTAACGTCTCTCTTAATATATATACATATGTATCTATTTTGTTACCAGTTGTATAACTTAAGACAAATTCTTATTACCCGAGACATGCCCAGGCTAAAGCGGAAGATAGTTTTTAATATATGTGTTGTTTGCTCTCATGGCTCAGGAATTTTCGATCAGCTAATAATGAACGGGGTTATTCATACAAAGGATTTTATTTGGGACAGTCAATTAAGGTAATGATTTCTTTTTTCTTTTTTACCAATTATTCAATTAGTCAAAATAATATTTCTTATTCTTATTACTAAGTTTACTCAAGAGGAAAAAGACAAACAAACATGGACTTGGAATTGCAAGTACATGGAAATATGGAATTGCAAGTAATTAAACAGTACCCTTTTTTCCAGCAGTCATTTTAATAATTTAAGATCGTTTGGTGGATGAATGGATGATGGGAACCAATCTCCTCAAGCAAGATTAGGAGTTTCAACATAAAGATAATGACTTTAAATAGGTCATGAGTGATAAAGTGATCCCCCTTGAATTGAATGATATAAGTCGTATGGATGAAATTCTAAGAGTCAGTAGTGGTCAAAGAAGGACTATTTGCTTGCTAATATTTGAGGGACTGAATATAAATAAAAAATTATATTATTATTATTTTATAAAAATAAAACAGTTATCTGGTTGTCAATCTTCTGTTTACTGCTTTTGTTTCCTCTGTTATATTTAATAGCAGATAAGTGAAATGCGTAAAAAAGTTAGGTGATTATCATGAACATACAAGAAATATATAACAGATCTTTTAGTAAAGGCAAATAAGGAAAAAAACAAATGAATTCATCAGTAGATTGAGAACAAATTGGATTTCGAATACTTCATATAATATTTCCTCTATATACAGTCGATTTTTAAAACTTAAAATAAAAAAAATATAGTGGAAATCTCATTTACATCAAATTTCGAAATTGATCTACTGGTGATATCTCCTATTTAGACTTATGCTATAAGGAGTGTTTGTTCCATTCATAGCACTCCAAATTTATTATCCAAATAAAAATTAATTTTTTTTTATGAAATATACTTGTAAATTGTTAACTACTCTTACTAATCCTATTATTATATTCGACCATTTTTGCAGATATTACTGGCACAATCACCAACTAAAGATAAAATGCTTCAACACCATTTATGATTACGGTTATGAATATCTTGGCATATGCCAAAGGCTCATGACTACTCCTTTGACTGAACGTTGTTTTCTTACAATAACGCAAGCTTTGCGTTATGTCCTTGGGGCTAAGTTGATCGGGACAACGGGTTCAGGAAAGTCGGAAACAATCCGGGTAATTAAATTATTTTTAGATAGTTATACTTTTCTATAATTTTCATCTTCTTAAGTTATTGGTACAACATACGCATATAGCTGTCCATAGACTGCACAGTAAGCTTTTCACACTGCGCTTTATTTTCTACCATGTTGATACCTGTTCCCAGCTTTCGTAGGTCACTACTATCGTTAATATTATCATAATAGGTAATAATAATTAATATATTAATATTTAAATAGCTTGCTATGTAAGACAACGACTAACCAAAAATACTTATCATACCCTTATGAATATAATTGGATTGTTGTTGGTGAGATATTGGTTTAAGTCCGCAAATAATTCACTAATTAAGAAGTTTGAGATATATATTAAAATAGTATGATGGAAAAATGTCTATAACTATTTGTTAAAAAGAGAGCTACCCAGAAGAGGGTTTGATGGCATAACTTGCGCCATCAAAATTTTTGAGGGGAGCATATTTTAGCGGGTTTTGGAATTTTTGAGGGGGACAGATTATAGATTATGAATTTTCGGAATGATGTGTTATACTAAGGGAAAGGGAGAAAACATGGAACAGATAGCAGTAAGTGCAATTGTATATGGTCTACGATTTTTTTAACTCTACCTTCGCTTACTCTGTTTTCGAGAAAATGTGACCTATAAAATGTTTTGGGAGTGTGGAGGATAGGTTCACCTTGGGGAAGGGGTGGAGAGAAGATGGATGGCACCCCTAGTTAGAAAGAAAGAAATGATACTAGAACATTTGTACAATATTTACCAAATTTCCACCAACTTCCAATTCAAATCAGACGTGCCGTTTCCGAAATTTCGGCGTATCAATGACAGTAAGTTTGTACATATGTGAGAAGAAGTATCTTTTGATAGTAGTGGATGTAATTCGATAAAGTCTATACCTACTTTTGTTTAATTTGTTCAACAATCCCTAATTTTCCTCCAAATTTGGGCCAGATAGTAAGTTTTTATTTTTATATATAAGAGTACCATATACGTTTTCGCACTTGTAATTCGAAAAATGTATAAATTATATTTTTTAATAAACCCCAGATCTCTCGAACATTGAGCTAAAACGAACGAATCTTTTCTGTGGTATAGGCACTTTTAAGAAAATACGATTATTTATTTAATCAAATTATGGAAATGTGAGGTGGATTTGACGAAATTGATCTGGGACCATTAGGCACAATCTCCGAATATTTCATGTTAGTAGGTGATTGCCAAATTTATTTCATTACCAGTTTACATCAACTTTGTTGCTTGATATTTATAACGTGAGTGAAAATTTTTATTCTAAGCAAAAAAAAGTTTAGAGGAGGAGAAATATTTTAACCTCTTTTTTGTTGAAGTTTTGTGTTAGATTTGGGATTTTTTCTGATACATTTCATGTGCTATGTGATTTTTAAAAATAATATTTTATGAACTTAAGGATTTATTTTATTGGAAGAATGTAAATTAAATGTGTCAACAATTCAAATATGTTCCTATTTGATAAGGTAACTGTCGGAAGCTGTACACAAGTTTCTTTAAATTGTTTACTTATACACATCGTCGGCATCATCTTTAAGTAACGAATGTGAAAAGTCACATTTTTCAATTTAATTGCACGTCTTTTAATTTCATAGATATCCAACTTTTGGACTATAAAGACCAGAATCCGTAATGTCATTTTTAATGAATTTATAGCTTTATTAGATATGCACATATTGTAGGAATGGATAATCATGATTAATTGACCGACAATATGTTTATTATTTTCCAAGGAACTTTTTTAAAAATAATTGTTAATAAATTAAACCATATTAAAAATGTTATAGGTTTTAAGTGTTGTTAATTTGAATTTTATGATAATTACAAATAGACTGTTGATAATTCAATGTCTTCATTTACAGGATCTCGCCAAGGCATCCGCCATTCTGTTATTTGGTTTCAGTTGCTCAAACCTCATTGATTATAGCAACTTGACTGCGTTTATGAAAGGCACAGCATGGTAAGTTTATTAATTTTTGTTACTTTTAGATTATTTTTTGGTCATTCAATAAATAAATTCTATCCTAACAAGTTATAAATAAATGGTAAAGAATGCATAGCATGGTTGGATGATGGCTTCATTTATGGAATTAAAATGGAAATGGTTATGGCAGTAGCTGTAGTAGTGGTTATACCTTCGGAGATTTATTTAGAAGTATTTTCATATTTATTTGATAAATTAATTATTTAAAAAAAATAAAATCCACTAATTTATACCTAAGAATGATCTTACCTCCCCAAAACTCCACTGGGTCTCAAGCAAACGAACCATGTGGAAGTGGGCTGACAAATTATACATCATTGCTACAATGGGCTCTCCCTTTGTTTTATTTATTTTTTTCCGTATGAGTATATTTAAAAATATGTTAACAAAGCGATTGTAAATATAACATTTTTTATGTTTTTATTTTAAGGTTTTGTGTAATATTACTCAATAATGAAATGTGTTTTATTAAAAAAAAAAAAATTAAAGGTTTGAGGCAGTAACATGGACTCACTTTTCTCCGATGATAAAATTTTCTTAAAATGGAAGAGCGTACATGAATGAATAATAAAATCCTAGGATATGTTATAATTATTGATAGGTTGCTACATATAATTATCTTTGAATACAAACTAAAATTTGATTGGTAGGAATATAAGGCGAGCTACAATACTTACCTAGTTAGTTCTAGGCCTTAGCTTAGCCATCTAGACGACTATTTCTATTTTCTTAATTGGTTTTAGTGTATATACTTTATTCATTCATTTCGATTAACTGTTCTTAATTTTGAATTTATATTTGCTCCTTGAAATATTGGGGAGTGAGAGCGAAACGATATTCTCGCCCCTCTCTCTATTTTCATTGGGGGAAGGAGCGGGGATAATCACCTGCACCTATGATCGCTATCTATGTTTTTTGATTGTAATATTAGCCGAAAGAATTACTACTGCTATGCTCCTCAGGTATATTCTGGAATTTAATGGTAAATAAAAATAAGATTGAAAACAATCAAAACTTAATTTATTCATATTATATAAGTGTATTTCTATTTTTTCCGATATAAAGATCCATCTAAGGACCGCGCGTATCCTTTGGCCTTTCCTTTTGGCCCAAACTTTCTTGATTTTATTGCTCATTTACTTTTTCCGATGTTCTATCCATTTTCTTCCTTCTTTTTTCCTACTGCAAGAAACTTCATCTTACTCACTGTACCTGAATCCATCTCCATCTTCTTATATCCCAAGTCTTACAATTTCTTCCTTGATCTGTTCAATTGTTCTTCATTCTCATTACTTTGTCAAATATCCGTTTATTTATCCTGTCTTCACTCATTCTCTTCATGTGACCAAAGAATTTCAATCTGTTTTCCTCATTGATGTTTCTAGATCTTCAACATCTGCAGAAAATTTCATTTTTTTTATATTAGTACTTATCTTTCACCTCTCTTAGTCCATGGGTACACCTTTGTATCTTCCTCTCTGTTTTCAGTAGCTTTTCGGTAATGGAAAATCTCATTCCATTTAACATTACTTTTTCATTATGTCCTATTATAGCTTTTCTGGAAAGGTTCCTTTTGTAAAGGTTTTTTAACTAGATATTTAAGTCAGCACAACTTTACTTCTTTATTCTTCGTCGATTTTAAATTAGTCCCATTGTGTATAATGGTTTCTCCTAGGTATTTGAAATGTTTTAAAGTTTGTATATTTCCGTATTTACTTTAAATTTTCTTTTCATTAACTTCTTTATTGGTTATTATTTTTGTTTTCTCAAAGGATATCTTTAAACCTGTCTTTTTCTCATATTTCCTTTAGTTCTTCTATCTAGTCTATTGCATCCGCAAAGGCTAAACATCTGACTTATACTTTATCCTTCCTTCTTCCTAGCCTAGCTTCAGACTGGTTGGTTTTATCTTTTTAAACTGGTTGGCTATTTTTTTTATTTCATCTAGCTCTATACCACATAAAGTGGAAGATAGTCCGTCCCCTTGTCTTAGTCCTGTTTTCCTGTTTCATCAGGGCAATTCATCTAGCACTGTCGGAATAAGTTTGGAGACTGATGGATTATATTTATTGTTTTCTGGTCTAGTATACTTTATCAATATCCCGAATAATGCCTCTATCTACTGAGTTGTATATAAAATAAATTAATAATTGTACACACACACACACACACACACACACACACACACATACACGTTATCTTCTGTATAGATACTAATACAATGTAAAAAAAATAAGATGTATTGGCTTATTCAATTCTTTAAATGTTAAAATCACTTTATTAGTTTAAGAAGTATCAACAAATGAAAATAATTGAAAATAAAATGTTTCAGTACCGGTTCTTGGACTTGCTTGGATGATTTCGACCGTATTTCACCAGGCTTAATATCTGTTATAGCACAGTTGTTCGGTGAAATATGTCAAGCTTTAAAGAAGAAATCTTTCACGTAATTACCTCATTGATTTTTGTGGTAGATTATTAGTAATAATAAGTAATTAGTATTATAAATTACTTGTTTGATGAATAGCATCCAAAATGTTCAACCAGCGAGCACTTATCAGGTTATAAGTATATATAAATCATTATGTAATTACTGTATTTTTTTATTTTTCTATTAATCTGTTTAGATTTTTTCCTGTAAAGCACGCATTACGCGCTTTGCTTAATGTGGGAAACAATATTACTGACTCAACATATACATTTGATTTCATTAACAATAGTTGTTTGTTTTCATTATGCAAATATATTGTCAAACTTTACAAAAGAGAAAAAATATTTGTAAAAATATTCGCCTATACTGTTATAGATAAATATTACAAATGAGAGTTTCAGTGGAACACTTAAATATTGTTGAGACACGTATTGCCTACGGAAGAATGGAGAAAGAATGGAATATTCATTCATCTATTAGTGGCAGTGTATTAACAGCTGTGTATGTATCTAAATACATACTGAGGGAAATAGGATGTAACATAATAACAGTTGAGAAAGGTTACTTTTAAACAGCTGCTGAACAGAAAACAAAAGACACACTTTTCAGAATCTACTAAAGTGACCCATTAAAAATGAAATAAATGAATTGGAGGAACATTGATATTTACTACAACTCATGACAGGCCTGGGGAGACAAAAGTACTAATAAAATTAATAGTATATTGATGTTTGACTGTAGTGAAAATTGAAGAAAAGTTGATTGGGATGTTGAGTCCAAAATGAAAAGTAAAAATAAATAAATGAGATTTATTTTTATTTTGTCGACATTTCGGCTCAAAGTTCAGGCCTTCATCAGGGATAAGGAAGGTCATATAACAATAGATATGAGAAACTAATAACATTAAAAGGAAAATAATAATATAACAGTAACAGAGAAGAACTTATGAATTAAATAATAATGGCAACAAAGTTGAAGACTAATGAAATTAGGTAACAAAAGGAATGAATAAGTCAATTAACAAGGAAATGTAATGGAATGTTATGAGATAAAAATGTAAGAGTTAGACGTAGAATTAATGGGGTGACGTAGTTGATATAATATGATGTATTCACAAGTAAGTGAGATTGATATAGAATAAATGTAAAACAGAGGAAAATAATATGAAGTTATACAGGGTGTGTAAGGGCTAATTGGCCAAAGTGCAAAAATGAACTAGGGACCTCAAAACAAGAAGAAAATTTCCTCTGAAGGTATGTCTGCAAACGCTTTGTGTAGGAGATATTCATACCTAAAAATTTTCGTTGTTATGAAGATTTATTGACGTTATATTAAATAGATAAAACCTATTTATTTGTTCTAACTACTTTATTAATTAAATGCAAACATTAACATTCATATTAAATGTTGTTCAAAGTGATTTCCTTGATTATTAATAAAGGCTCGGCATCTACCTTCATCAGCAGCAGTGGCAGAACGGCACTAGATATGTGTTATTGCTTCACAAGATTCAATTATCCTTCTTCGTAAGGAATTAAGGCCATTGACCGGACTTGCATAGACTTTTTGTTTAATGTCACCCCAAACAATGACCTTAATTCCTTATGAAGAAGGATAATTGAATCTTGTGAAACAATACCACATATCCAGTGCCGTTCTGTCACTGCTGTTGTTGAAGACTGATGCCGAGCCTGTCTTAATGCTCAAGGAAATCACTTTGAACAACATTTAATATGAATGTAAATGTTTATATTTATTTAATTAAAGTCCATTTTTACAGTTTGGCCACTTAACCCTGAAACACCCTGTATAAAGAAAATAATAAATGTAAATAGAATAAATTAAGATAATGTAAAATCTTTAAAAACATACTGACTACATAGAACATAATTAAAAGTTTAAAATTATGTAAATTATTAAAATAAGACGTAATGAGTAACTATATCAATATACACAAAATAGAGGCAGGAGTATGGAAAAGAGAGTAACGAGAAAAAGGAATCTGTAGACCTTACGTACCTTATGTAGCGCCCACTATTAATAAACTTATTATTAATATGAAATATTAATTATACTAATCATAATATAGGTCTTGAAAACAGGAAATTCCTACAACCGAGGATTCCCACCTGAAAGTTCTTAGAGATAAAGAATGGTCCATAATTTTGAATACATATAGTATGTTTGTTTATTTAGGCTTTATGGCTTAAAACTCTCGTATGTAGTATGTTATAGATAGTACATTAACGAATATATTTTTGTTTGCAGGGTGAAACTTGCTGGAACGGAATTGCCTTTGGTTTGTACCTGCAACCTATATTTGACCATGGCTCCTGGGTATGGCAGCGATTGGAGATTACCCGATAATTTGTCGGCATTACTACGACCAGTTGCTTTAATAAGACCGGACAGTTTACTTATAATCAGTTTATTCCTTTATAATTATGGATTCAAGGCTCACCATGATTTAGCCCAAAGTGTTCTGTCTTTTGTTAAAATCTGTATGGACTTCCAAGTTTTCACGGTAATATTTATTGTAATTAAACGTTATCATAGATTTTCTAGTTGTATTGATTTAATGCATAATTCACTAAATCCTCATTCAATATGATATTTTTGAAAAACATACATAGGTATTTCAATCATTCCTTTTGAAAATATTTAAGGAAATTAATAAAAATTAAGACCATTGTTCAAAAATGAAAAAAATAAACATATATAAAAACATTCATAGTCAATTTGATTAAGTTGACTTTCTATTTTTTGTAGATTTCAAACTAAAAAAAAAATGGTATTATTTATTCCATCCTTCTACAAAATGCGCAGTTATTATTAAGTTATTTTAGTAACTAATAGAAGTGAGGAATCATGATATTTTCATTAATTTTTATCTGATTTCATTGCCACATTGAATAGATGATGAGGTTTTCATTAGGCGTCAATAAATCGAAAAAAAATGATGTAATGAAAAAACAAAACAAATCAATGTGGCTTAATTTAAAAACTCATGTTTTTGTTTATACGTATCAACCAGCCTTGGGCAGTATTTCAGACAAAATACAATTTTGGCCTTTTTCGTTTTAAGAAATAAAATTAATTCATGATATAGTCAAACACAGGTATCAGGAGTTGGTTCCGTCTAGGAGTACGAAGGATTGGTTTGAACTCCATTACGACATGCATCCATTACGACTCATTGTGAAAAAATGTAGCCATAACTTAATAATCTTCGGCCTAGAACCTGTGCTATAACACATATGCCAAATCATTGCGAACTCAACTTGTCAATAATAATAAAAACATTATAAATTATATATGCATTTAAACCAAATTATGCATCAAAAAAATTATAATATCACACTTTCCGCCTAACGGCGGACCAATCCCTATTTTATAAATTATACAACTATTCATTTAATTGTTCTATTGGTTGCTCAAATTTTATAACTGTAATTTACATGTATTCTCTAGTCCAGATTGTATTATTTTTGATCAACATAAAATAAACGGACCAATATATATAATATATAATATATATTTCGGGTAAAATTTTAATTTATTTAAAAATCTATATAAAACATCGCGCCTTATTGTCAATTTATGATATATATATATATATATATATATATATATATATATATATATATATATATATATATATATATATATATATATATAATTATACTTTATTACCGATTTGTAACCATAATAAGAAAAGAAATAATTCTGGAAATAAGTAGTGAGAGATTCTTCGTTTCGGTCCGTCCTGCTTTGCATATGTAAAATAAAATAAAACAGTCATAAAATTAAGAAAACAAACAAACATCAACAATGTCTGCCTGTTGAACATATGTCAGCGAAAAACTCCCATTTTATACTATTCGATGTATGTAGAATCATCACTGTGACAGTAGAACGGAATATTTACATACATATTTTATAAGCAAATGATACTAACTTTCATACTCTATACAATATAAAAAGAGCCTGAAACTGCTTTCCTAGAATCTTTTTGTAAATTCGAGCATAAATAGTGCCAGTAAATAATGCTAGATAGGTTTGCAGTAGTGTAGCTCAACATCTTAAAAAAAATCGATCTTCATATAAATAGTTTTTCATAAGGAACAAAAACTCCAAATTCATAAATATTTATTAATGTACTTATTTATTTATCAGTCACGTTGTCATTATCCCTTTTTACGGTTCTAATGTTTGATCAATATCAAGTGTTGTTCATCTCCTTCCTTTTCCAGGGATATTATGATTTTGGATTGCGAAATATAAAACAGATAATAAGTGAAGCTGCAGATTTAAAATTGAGGTACCCAAAAAAATCTGAGAGTGTAATTATCGTTAGAGCTTTTAGAAAAGTTATGCTCCCCAGACTTGCTGGCTGCCATATCGAATATTTTTCATGTGAGTATTACATTAGCGGATCGTTTAGTAATAATTATTTAACTAATTTATAAATTATTTATTCGACTCGAAAATGAAAGTAGCAACCATTGTTCGGTATACTATCAATAGTTTTCTAAATGAATAAGCAATTAATTTTTTATGATGAATTATTTTGCAATGATCTTATTTATTCGGAAATGAGTTTATAACCACTGGTGGACAACATTTCTTCAAGTTGATAATTTTTATTTTATTTAAATAGTTCATTGTATATTTAGAATTTAGGATAATGTTAAATAAAACAGCATTATTAAAAAAATATTTATTATCGGTTATTCTAGTTTGTTTGTTTGTTTGTTTAGGATTTAAGGCGTAAAGCCCTAAGGTCATCAACGCCTGTGAGTCGGTTATATTTTTAAACTCTTTAGAAGAGAAATAGAAAAAAAAGAATGAACAATCAAAAATTAATAATAGATAGATAGAGTAATAAATGAAAAAGATATTTAAAATATATAAAAAATAAAATATATTAAAATAAATATTTTAAAAAAAGAAAGAACAATAAAATAAAAATTATATTTATTTTTATATTTTACTTAATAGTCTATGGATTTTAAGAAA